GATGTAAACGCTCCTATAGGTCCCTACATGTTTTGTTGCTTTGATTATACATCTGGCGAGGACATACATGAATACAGTTCTCCCGGAGATCTGCCTTCTTTCCCCTGAAGAAGCCCCTTCTGGGGGCGAAACATGTAGGGACCTATAGGAGCGTTTACATCATCTGAAAATAAGTTACCGTATATCTCGTAACCGCACGGTACTGTCACCTAACGGTGAACCTGCATATTCAATATGTATTTTTATTAATGATATATATTTTTATTGATGACATGATTTTGTACTTTATTCCTTGGTTCTAGACTATGTATACAACAATTTAGTGAATAAATGTTTTTCTAAGACTTTTATATACGAGGTCTGGACTGGTTTCTAAAAAGCCCCCTTTTCTCTCACCACTGGGTCCTTGCACAGCCCACTGTGGAAACAATCTGTTCCTTTGTATCCATAACCTGGGGTGTGAAACCTCCAGCTCCTCTAGATGCTATTTGCAACACACGCCTGCCAATATTATCCCTTAACAATAGTATGTGCAGGCGACTCTAATATTGCATTCGACTCTAGCTCAGATAGGACAAGTAAAGGGACGACTAAGCTCAGACCCCCTTCAAAAGCGGGCTGCTCTTAGCCAGAACTATGCATACATATTCCTTAATTGATATCTGGAGAGAACAGAATCCAATATCAAGAGATTACACACACTTCTCCCACGCACATGGGACCTATGCGAGAATAGATCACATCTTTATTTCTTCCTCATTGGTTCCTCTAGTAATCTCCTCCCATGTCAAAGATATCGTTTGGTCTGATCATTCCATGGTCACGATGTCCATTTGCGAGAATAGATCACATCTTTATTTCTTCCTCATTGGTTCCTCTAGTAATCTCCTCCCATATCAAAGATATCGTTTGGTCTGATCATTCCATGGTCACGATGTCCATTTCCCATTTTCGAGACCTTAATAAACCATTTCAGTGGAGATTAAATGAATGTTTATTAAGCGCTCCGACGTTAAGCAAGGAAATATCATTACGTCTATCTTCGTATTTTTCGTTGAATAGGGACTCAAATATTTCCCCGGTTATGATCTGGGCGGCTCATAAGGCAACCATTAGGGGTACATATATAGAACAGTCTACCAGACTCAAAAAAAACCCCTCTAAACATATAATAGAATTAAAGCAAGTTAAAAATGTTGACCCAACAACACAAACAATCTCCCTGTCCCTCACTTCTTCGCAACATCGAAGGAGTACGAACTGAGCTGAATCTGCTTCTGACTACAAAAGCAGAAAAAAGCCTTTGCTGGTCTGCCAATAAACTTTATATACACAAAGACAGAATAGGCTCACTATTGGTCTCTAAACTCTCCCCCAGACCACACAATCTTTCATTGCCCAAAATCAGATGTAAAAACGGTAATTATACTCAGAACCCAAAAAGCATACTCCAGGAATTCCACAATTGTTACTCTCTATTATATGAAACACAATCACTAACTTCAGGAGATCAGATGATCAAATTCCTTAGTGACCTTTCATTTCCGCCTTTACAACTTAAACATAAGCAAATTCTGGAAGCTCCGATCTCCTTCCAAGAAATTAAAACAGTAATCAAAATGGCAAAATCTGATTCAGCTCCAGGTCCAGATGGCTTACCTGCTACATATTACAAAAAATATGTTGAGATACTGGCACCACATATGGAAGCTTTTTTTAATGCACTACATCTAGGAGCCTCTCTCGACCTGGACCTCAACAGAGCCTTTATTAGTGTTATCCCCAAGCCCCACAAAGACCCAGGCGATTGATTTCAGGTCTCCGAGTCAATGCTTCTAAGTCTGTGGCTCTCAACATTAACCTCCCTCCCAAACTGTGGCTGGGCCTTAGGAGTTCCTTCCCATTTGAATGGCGTTCGGATTTTCTCCAGTATCTTGGGGTGAAATTCACCCCGTTATACCCAATTATATCTCACAAACTATCCCCTCTTTATAAACTCCTTAGAGAAGATATGATTAGATGGACCCCTTATAATTTATCTTGGATGGGCCGTATCCACTCAAAATGACTATATTTCCCAAAATGTTATATTACTTCAGGACCTTGCCAATCCCGATACAACGGGTGGAACTCATCAAATTGCAAAAGTTTATTTTCAAATTAATTTGGGGTGACAAACGTGCAAGAATCTCGCAAGATACTCTTTTCAAATCTAGATTTCAAGGGGGTCTAGGGGTGCCCAATTTGCTGCTTTATTATCGGGCTGCACAGCTGTCACAACTCTCCTCTATATATCGGGGGGCAGTTGGGCTAAGATAGAAACTACCTCGCTTAAGGATATTTCTATCGAAGTCCTAAAATGGATGACCTTTAAGCAAAGACCAAAGATATTGGCTCCCACTTTGTCGCATTCTATGGTCCTCTGGGATTAGCTACGTGGCAAAGAAGGCATAACCTCCTCCCACACCCCCCTTGCACCACTGTTCAACAACCCAAATGTTGTACCAGGACTGCAGCCTAAAGCTTTCCAATGGTGGATTGACAAAGGCCTTTATAGAATCGGAGACTTTGTTAAGTTTCATAAACCAATTTCTATCTCTTATTGTCTAAATACTCTCCAAATGCCACTATCGGAAACGTTTAGATTTAGACAAATACAACATTATTTACAGTCGATACAGATTCCTAAAATGGGTTTTCCTCTGAAAACACAATATGAACAGTGGTGTTCGGGAGGGATTGGTCAGGAGGGAGGGATCTCCCTAATCTATGCTGCACAACTAGGCCCATTCAGTAAATTGGCCTACATGGCTACATGGGAAGTTGACTTAGGGGTAACACTCTATGGAGGAATGGAAACAGTGCATCATGAGATCGACTAAGGGACTGCTTAACGTCTCCCTACTAGAGGCTAACTATAAGGTCCTCTCGCGATGGTACTTAGTACCAGCTAAGTTGGCGACCATGTTCCCAGGATCCAGTGCTTTATGCTTCAGAGGATGCAATCAACAGGGCACTATGATTCACGTTTGGTGGGAGTGTCCAAAATTGCGTCCGTTCTGGAATAGGTTTTTTGCCCTGCTCTTCAGGATTCTCCGGACTCATGTCCCGAGAGATCCGCAGCATTTATTACTAAATAAAAAGATTCCGGGTATTTCTGAGGCACAGGGCAAACTCTTGTCATTTTTCTACTTAGCGGCCAAGACTTCAATCGCGCGCTCCTGGAAAACCGAAAGGGTACCATTCTCTATGGTACGGTCTAAATTAAATTGGATTATGATCCACGAGAAACTATATAGTATCTTGCAAGACAGATATATGAATTTCAAAGCAATATGGGAGCCATGGTTGACATATCAAAGGATTTTAATTTTTTCGGGCACACAGTGAGCCTCTTCAGGATATCCACCGCTCTGGAAATCTGAACCTTAGGAATCTGCAACTTTCTCTTTCCTTTTTTTTTCCTTTCTTTCTTGTCCTTCTACTTTTCTTTCTTCTTGTTATTTTCTGCTTAATTAATAGTGTTTCTGTTGTTTTTATTATTGATTGGTGGGAGGGGTAATCCAATCCACCACAAGAAACTAGCATGTGTAGACATAGCGAGGAACAGCAATATTTGTATTGTTAAGAAAATAATTATATAGTACCTCCTGCCCCCAGTTATTAAGATAAGTAAGTAATAAGTAATAAGTAATTGGCTCTTATAGTTTAACTATGCATAGCTAACGGAACCGCTAAGGCCTTAAATACTTTTAAGAGGGGGGGGTACTGTGTCGATATTAAAGACAACCAGATAATTGGCTATGATGCACATGATATTTGACTGTAACAAATTATTTCTGTATAAAAATGGCAAACCAAAAAACCAATAAAAACTTTGAAATATAAAAAATGATGGAACACTGTGGGGCATATTGCAAAACAGGAACAGCTTAGCAGAGTGAGTAAACCATAGGAGGAGAGCAAGGAAGAATGGCCACAGAGTACAGGAGCAGAGACACTTTGATGGAAACCAGTCAGAGACAAGGAGCACAGTGGAGTATAGCTTTAGGATGACAGTGCGTGAGATCAGAAGTGTAACAATGAGTAGAAGGGCCAAGAACAGTGGAATGCGGAGAGATGAGGGAATAAAGTTGGGGAACACTCCCTGTGGGTATAAAGCCGAATGTGTGCAAGAACCCTCCAATGTCCCTGACAGGAAACAGGAAGTTCCTAATATTCATTAGCATAATGTATGATTTCCTCCAGTGTTTACTTTTTATTCAGCATGTTTGGTGATTGAAAGCTCAGTCACAGTGGTAGACCTTCTGTATTCAATTCCATGATTCATTAGACCAGTGCCAAGCAGGAACAAGTCACACATTGGTCTTTGTCGCAAATTAACAAATCACTTCTGCTAGCTGTCGGTTACTTTTATAGCTTTAGATCTTCTCTGTCTGCTAGGATTAAGGAGGATGACTCTCCAGTTTATGATAACAAATGGGTATGGGTCACATAGGTATTATTCCATTATTATTAAGGATGACAACAGTTTTCAGAACAATTCTGCTGACCCAGTGTTACTGCCCCACCTCCGGCCGGCTATATGTACTACTAGAGAACATCAACTATACTGGCTTTTCCCACATCGGGTCCTTCTCATCTTTTAAGGCCATCAAATGACTTCCTCCTCCCACTTTTGCCACTTTGAGTTCTTCTTATCCTTTAAGGCCTTCTAATTAACTTCTCCTCTCCCTTCTCCCATATTGGGCCCTTCTTATCCTTATAAGGCCATCTAATGACCTCCTCCTTCCCCTTCTGCCACATTGAGCCCTTCTTATCCTTATAAGGCCATCTAATTACCTCCTCCTCCTTCTTCGGGCCACATTGAGTCCTTCTTATCCCTTAAGGCCATCTAATGACCTCCTCCTCGCCCTTCTCCCACATTAGGCCCTTCTTATCAATTAAGGCCTTCTAATGAAATAATAACAAGAATGATAACAATTATATCATTTACACAGGTGTGCAACAGTGACCTCAATTCCAACTGGAGGAACACAGACCTTTAGGTGTGACGGCATTGTTGGTCGCTACGTCAATATCATTTTATGAGGAAAATCCGAATTTCTTCAGCTGTGTGAAGTCCAGGTTTTCGGTGAATACACGTACAACTGTCTCAACTAAAGTTCCACAGACAGTAGCACAAGTTTATTATTAAGTCAGTTTTATAAACAGAAGTTGTGATTATTCAAATCTGACATTAAACATTTTCATTCAAGCATGTTATCACTTGTGAGTCTACGTTCATTATGGTTCATTAAAGAAAGAAAACTTTATTCATTGGTGTGTGACAAAGGTCAGCAGATGATGTTGAGTTGAACTGCGGAGGTGAATTTTATATATATTTTTACATTTTGTCTACTGGACTAATATGACTTACCCATTTACATTAGGGATGCACTGACATATCGGCTGAAAATTGCACTTTTGGCTAAATTCCTGAAAGTGCTAGTTTACTGCCGATACATCGAGCATCCCTGCTTTCTTTCCTCCCTGCTGGGCGCTGCTCTGTGTCCCAGCAGGGAGGAGAGAAACTGTGACAGCCGGCCGAGCGCTGCGTGTACAAGCAGTCAGTGATCAGTGATCGCTGAGTGTTTGTAGATAATTGAGGACAGAGTATGGTTACTATATCCTCAATTATGAATGAATGGGAAGTGATCTACATCACTTCCTGTTCATTCATAGTTGTGGTTATAGTAAACACACAATGTCCTCATGTTATCAATGAACAGGAACACTCAGTATAGAGGATTCATTGATAACAGGGTATACAGAATAAGAGATTGATGACTTTGTGTCTCAGAGGACTCTGTGTTCTCAATCTCTTTTTCTATTTTAAAAGGGAAATATCAGGGGTCTGTTTTAGACCCCCAATATTTCCCCGAAGCACCTAAAAGTAAAGTAAAAAATGCAAATATTTAATAAAAAAATTAAGTGGATCTGCATGCCATTATCTTCACCGGCTTTCTGCTGTTTTGCTTTCCAAATCCTTGTACAATCCTTGTACAAGGAAATTTCCATACACTTACCATTGGGAAATACCGTGCACCAGGGTGTTTTCCAGACCACCAGTTATTCCTACTGGTGGTTGACAACCTTTGTCTTCAAAACCATCTTACAATTGATGAAAGAAAAATCATTATGCAATGGCGGTGAGATATGCTGTTTAGCAGGGTGCGTTTACAGGAAGCACCTCAGGACGCACAGTTTAAATCCTTGGTTCTCAACTAGTGGGTCATGACCCAAAAGTGGGTCGCGACCCCGTGTTCAGTGAGTCACTGCATGCCTTTTACTTTTCTAGGTGAGAGGTTCCGCAGCCTCCCCCTAGCGCAGCACTGTCCTTTCTCACACAGAGCAACCATTCAAAATATGCTTCCTGGTGCCGAGTGTCGACTTGGGGTGGGTTGGGCTGGGGGTATGGCAGCGAGGGAGCTCCATCCATACATGCATTGCTTACAGCTCCCTCACGTGTCCTATAGAGGTGCCTGGACTGGAATGAAATCTCATTCTGGCTCCCGGCACCTTTGCAGGCGCGCATGGGAGCTGTACAAGCAATGCACACATGGATGGAGCTCCATCACATCACAGCAGCCCACACTGCGGTGCATTCCATTGCAGTGCAACTTAGGTCGTGACTTAATGACTGAGGACAAATGGGGGTCCTGAGGTTACACAGGTTGAGAACCACTGGTTTAAATCATCTTTATTCATAACCACGTCCATTGAGACTTTCTTCAGTGTACACAAATTCACCGATCTCTGACACCTCATATTGGACTATACACTCAGTAGTTGGACTATACCACATCCAGTGCCTATTGTTCCTATGTCTGATTTTGGAGTTTTATGAGTTTCATGGATCGAGACAATTGATCCACACCACCCACCACACGGATACCGTTTATATTAACGCAGGACATGTGCATTCATTTTTCTCTATATAGGTCTACATCAGATACCCAACTGGTCTTACATGAGTTGTGTTTTTATAGGGAGGGGTTTTTGCTATTGGGCTCAAAAAAACACACTAGGTCTTATTTTCGGGGTAGGTCTTATTTATTTTATTTTTTTAATGTACAACAATCCAAAGTTAATGCAAATCAAAATTAGATAATTCAAAATGGAAAAGTTAAGAATAGGGTGATCAGGGCAATCGGGGGTGCCGTACCTTTCCAAGAGCAATTTGGTAACCAGAAACCACTTTCACTATGGATTCCTCACAGGCGGAGTGCATTTGGTATCACTCCGCCTGTGACATGAGTAGGCGCTATAGAGGAAGCATCGGCTTATGAGGTTCTGCTCCCTGTGCTGCCGCCTCGCTTCGTCTAGTGCTGGCTTCATTGGCACCGCTGATTCTCTCCCGCGGGTCTTCAGGTTCCCCCTTTTGCCACCACAAGCCCTGGGAATGGTCACAACTGGGTCTTATTTTCGGGGTAGGTCTTATATTTTAGCAATTCCCAAAAATAGTACAAGGTCTTATTTTCAGGGAAATACATTTTTAAATACATTTTTATGCTAATATTGTTTGAAGAGCATTTCTGTGATCATATGGCTTCTCAGCTGATCTCTGATGTGTAGCCAAGTGAGAACCTGTTGTTTCTTTCATATTCTCTCAGAACACAGAGATAACAGCTGACAAGCCTGGAAGTGTTTACTATAGTATAATTTAGTTTATATTCTGATATGTTTTGCTGTTCTATCCAACCTTGGGTTCCCCCATTTTTCGAATATTAGTTTTGAGTATGCAATATGCTTCGTTACTAGCTAATGTAAGTAAAATGTTTTATTAGATGGCAGCCAAATATTTTTCATTTCTAATAATATACTCAGATCAGAAACATTTCAGAGTCATCAGCTTCATATTTCCATATGTTTTCATTATATTTTTATTAGGGATGCGGCAATATATCGGCCGCGGAAACATATCGGCCGAAAATGGCACTTTTGGCATAATGCCCAAAGTGCCATGTTTCGGCCGATACATCGGCGCATCCCAGGTTTCTTTCCTCACCCGCTGGGCGCTGCTCTGTCTTTCAGCGGGGAAGAGTGAAAGTGACAGCCGGCCGAGCGCTGCAGGACGAGAGCGCTGAGAACGGCCGGCCTCTCTCCTCCCACATCGCTCAGCCACCTATCACAGTCCGGCAGAGCGGTGTGTGGGCGGAGACAGCCAGCGCTGTCACAGGAGGCTCACCTCCCTGCTCCGCTCGCTCAGCCTCCTGTGACAGCGTGTCAGAGAGGAGAGCGGGGGATCAGTGATCGCTGAGTGTTTGTACATAATTGAGGATATGGTATGTTATCTATATCCTCAATTATGAATGAATGGGAAGAGATCTGCATCACCTCATGTTCATTCATAGTTGTAGTTATAGTAAACACACTCTGTCCTCATGTTATCAATGAACAGGAACACTCATTCCTGTTCATTGATAAAGGGGACACAGAAAAAGAGATAGAGGACTTTGTGTCCTAAATCTCTTTTTCTATTTTAAAAGGGAAACATCAGTGGTCTAAAAAATATTTCCCCGAAGCCCCTAAAAGCAATGCAAAAAAAAAATATTTAATAAAAAATGAATTAATAAATATAAAAAAAATTAAAAAGTTTATAACAAAATATTAAATATTAAAAAGATTTTAAAAAATTAAAATAAAAAACATTTTCGGTTTCGGCCTGACATTTTTTTTTTCGGTTTCGTTTCGGTTTTAACATTTCTATTTCGGTGCACCTCTAATTTTTATAATTATTACAAATAAAGAAATATCAAATGCTTAAAGTATAATTAAACCTTCCTGTTTTTTTTTGCATAGATCTATGGCTAGCAAGCAGTAGATCTATGTAAAAAGTGTATAAAAAAAACTGCTTTAAGAGAGCTTAAAAACTTACCTGTGTCTTCGCCGCGCGCTCATGTCCAAAAATGTGAAGATCCTCATGCGGCCGCAAAGCATCTTGGGGCGGGGCGCATGCGCAGATCACATTTTCGCCCGGGAGACGAGGAGATACGCAAGGTAAGTATATGGACGCGTGCACCCGCATGCAGACACCGTGGGACAGGAAGTGCCAGCAAGGACAGAGGAGTCCGCAGCAGCGTTGGAGGGACAGATGAAAAGGAAAGAAGAAGAAGATCGGATTAGGAGACATCATTTAAGGTAAGTGCTAACATTAACATTAGGGAGGGGCGAAAAATGACTTTAATGTCACTTTAATATGTTTTCATGGATAATCATTTTGAAAAGGGTTAAGTTGCATTAGTGAAATAAATGAACTTTGCACGATATTCTAATTATTCGAGTTTCACCTGTATGTATGTATGTCATTACTGTGCTCCCCTATAATTAAAAGCAATCTTTAGCTGGCTACAATGTATAGCCCACCACTGGCTCCCCATGCCCATTGAATAAAATTCTAAATATTGATAACCACATACAAAGCCATCCACAAGTCTGCCCCCAACTACATCTCCAACCTCATCTCAAAGTATCCCCCTAACCATCCCCTCTTTTCCACTCAAGACCTCCTGCTCTCTCGCTCCCTCATCACCTCCTCCCATGGTGGCCTCCAGAACTTTACCAGAATCTCTCCCATTCTCTGGAACGTCTTACCCCAATCTGTCAGCTATCTCCTACTCTGTTCACCTTTAGGTGATCCTTGTAAACTCAGCTCTTCAGAGAAGCCTCTCCCACCTCCACATAATAACTGTACTTTTACTTTTTCCATCAGCTCAACCCTCACAATTATTATCTTTTAGCGCTTGCCCCTCTCTACTAGATTGGAAGCTCTCATGAGCAAAGCTCTCCTAATCCTCCTGTATCCTCCAAATCAAGATTTGTATTGTAACTGTACTGTCACCCTTCATTTTGTAAAGTGCCGTGCAAACTGTTGGTGCTATATAAATGCTGAATAGTAGACATGTGCACCAGCTAAAAATTTGTTTTGTTTCGATCCAGATTGTGCTTTATTTGGTTTTTCGGAATTCGGATCCGAAAGTCAAATCTTTTCGGAATTCGTATTTGGACGAAATTCGTTAGCGGTAATCCGTTTCGTTTTCGTTCGTTCGTTACAGCAAAGTGACATTTAAGAGGGGAATTTTTTTTTTGTTCTCAATTGTCACTTTGCTGCAACGAAATTT